AAATAATTATTTCAAACAACTGGAAAATAAAATGACATATTATTATAATATATATTATAATAAAATGACATATTATAATAATATGTCATTTTATTTTCTAGTTGTTTGAAATAATTATTTGGGATAATCGTAAAATTCTTCTTACGAATTATATGGTGATGTACTTATCAGTTCACTTCAAATCTTTTAAGAAAGATTCTTAAAACATGATAAGAAACATTCTTTCTGCAGAATAACACCCCTCTTTACCATAACGTTTGAAGAGTTATATCATTATAAAGAGAGAGTTTTACTTAAAGCAAAATGGCACATAGGTTTCTTCCTGTTGCATTTTATTTTGAGGATTCCAGTAAATTCTTTCCAATTGTCCCTCAGCTTGTAAACAAAAATAGACAATTTGGGAAGAGGAGATACGATTGTTCGAGCCTCGTTTTTATAGTTGTTGACAATCGGCGAGTATAAAAATGAACCACGAGACCTGTCCGCTTTAGTTTACAAGCAATTGGAGAGAATTTACTGTAAATCTTTCGTCGTACCTGAAATAAAAAAGTAACGAAATGAATTATTATTTTAACTTGCTGTTATTTCAAATGAATCGATATCATTTTCATTTTCAAATAACAGTATACGAAATAACAGTTTGAAAATAACTATTTAAAATAGTTAAATTCTCCCTGATTTTCCTTCAGCTTGTAAACAAAAATGGACTATTTGGGAAGAGGAAGTAAGATCATTGCATCCTCGCGGCTCGTTTTTGTAGTTGTTAACAATCGGTAACTATAAAAACGAGCAGCAAGATTCGAACAATCGTATCTCCTCTTCCCAAATTGTCCATTTTTGTGCACAAGCTGAGCGCGCGTCAATTAGGGAGACTTTACAGTATATCTTATTTTCATTTTAAATAAAATATGCTCGGGTTTGTTCTATAGCTCTCTGCGTTAGGTCGCAAGAAATTGACTTCGGATCGAAGAAATCATTTCTCTCGACCTTTGCAGATCGTGGACGAGTCTGGGAACGGGAAAATCAATTCTCGCATATCGTACTTACACCGCTGGTGCTCTCTTCCGGAAATATGAGGGCCCGGATCGGTCGGCGAAGGATTTCGGCTAGCTCCGAATTCGGGGACTTCGAAGAAACCTGGCGGAGTAACAGCGCCAGATTGAACGCGAGAAACCTGCGGGGAAAGAGGTTCGCTTTCCTTCGGAACAGTAAAAAGCACGCGCTCGTAAACTTCGTCGGGTGGGACGAAGCGGCGCGTAAAAGTTTACACGCACGAGTACCGCTCGGAAATAGAAAACAGAGAGTCAATGGGAGAATGCAAATCGCCCGGGACCGGTCTTTAATTTTCCGCGATATATCGCGGCCGACACGGGAAGTACCCTTAATTAGCATTACAAATGAACGACCGGTCGTACGAAATTAAAGCTTCTTCGCCCCGAGGGGATGAAAATTCATCGGGCTACTAAGTTCAGGATCGCTATTTCTTCGCTACACCCTTTACGAACTCTCAACGTGTCAACTTCCTTTCCCGTTGCCCTTTTTAAGGGATTCTTTACCGTGACAACTTCGGTAGGTCGATTCCTTTTTGCATCTAGTTTCGTTCCGGCATTTTAGCAGAAAACGGTACTTATACTTATGAGCGATATCTTTTCTTCTCCAAATGATAGTCACACTTGTGCAAATTGTGAATTTCGGACGGCAGGCATTTTCTTGTAAATTTTGCAAAATTTAACAACTCGTGAACTTTCTTTTCGAAGTTATGGCACATAACTCTTTTTTGTGATATATTTAGTTATTTTTTTGTCTCGAACGTAACAAATTTTCATACAGTTCTAATTCATCGTTTCTTGGTTTAGTCTTATTCGCAACAGAGGAGAATTTGCAGATAAAATTTCGAGAACCGCATGACCGATTGTTCTAAAATTTGTATACATTTTTGCACATACATTTCACATGACTTATCCTGTTTCTCATTGTATTAAAAAATTACTGCCAAATTAATGGAAGCTTGCAATTTAAGTATTTACTATTTTGTCAATATATAATATAAATTATACGTACAGTTTGATGTAAACGATAGCAATATATATTTTTTTTTTTTATTTAAAGCGCTAAAGTCACACCAACATCTAATTTATTAACGATATGTTTGAGTGGTGGATGTTAGTCAAAAGGAATTGCTGAGGTATTCATTTTTTAATGCAGTGGAGACATTATTAATATTATTGATATTATTGATATTATTGATATTATTGATATTATTAATATTATTAGTATTATTAATATTATTAGTATTATTAATATTATTATTATTAATATTATTAATATTATTAGTATTATTAATATTATTAATATTATTAGTATTATTAATATTATTATTATTAATATTATTAATATTATTAGTATTATTAGTATTATTAATATTATTAGTATTATTAATATTATTATTATTAATATTATTAATATTATTAGTATTATTAATATTATTAATATTATTAGTATTATTAATATTATTATTATTAATATTATTAATATTATTAGTATTATTAATATTATTAATATTATTTATTAAAATTAATACTCCGATTAATATGAAACAGCTTTTATTCTGGGCAAGATGAAATGAAAAAACAAATAAAACTGTATAAAAAACTGTTATAAAAATATTATAACGTTAGACGCTTCGTACCGTACCATAAACAAATTTACAAAAATTATTATGTTATCTACCTTCGCCGAAGAATACTGCGAACGAATCAGAGCAACGCTCGTTTTAACAATAAACACGTATAAGAACGTACACACGCGCACGCGCACTATGAATTTTGTAGTGTTTTCAACGTAAATACTCATAAAAGTATTATGACATACTACACGGATGAAAAGTTTCAAATCACTTGCCAACTCTCCGTGAAATTACATCTCATGATAAAACTTTTCCTGTGATTTAAAAGCCAATATTTTTCGAAACAACTGCCGAAACTCTTGGCTTATAACTTTTTATCCATGGTAAAAGTTATCTTAATTAATCCGCCAACCGCGGGCAACGTGGAGAATTCGCGATTTAAAATTTACCATAAAAATCTAAGGTTAAAAAGTTTACAATTTATAGAATACTTTTTTATTTTTTTCTTGTTCCTTTTTTTAATACCTTTTCTAATTTAATTCTTAGGACACGTCTGCATAACAAATAAAACGAGCCCACAATTTCATACCGAAAAATCAAAAACTCGATTAGAGGTTTAAGTTAAAGCGACGTCGTTTATTGGCCACGTGAAAATATGAATATTTTATAACGGGTATACTAGTGTCGGATATTGGCTGTTGATATCGCTCAAATATTCTTTTTCTTCGGCCGCTCGAATATCAAATGTGAAATGAATATTTATAACGGACCATCAATAAAAGTTACATTCGGCTCGTGGAAGTTGACGCGTTTCTATCGCCCGCAACAATTTCGAACCGAATGAATGAAAAACACTGTGTTCTTTGAATTTAATACAGAATCAAATTGTTATGGCCGATCGATGCAGGATTTTTTTTGCAGCTTCTAATAATATCAAAGAAACAATTGACCGGTAATAGGACGCGACGGTTTACCTTGCTAGCAATTACTCAAATGCGTCTAATTAACGAACATAACTCTACCTTCACCAATGCGCGCGGTGATTTCAAATTCCCTCTGGCAAATAATTACGGAAAATTTGTAGCAAATACCAAACGGTATTAAATTAATGTTTAATTGGGAAACGTACGGAAATATTACTCGAAGGCTCGGCATGCTGGATTCGGAACCCGCGACTATAAGCGCGAACAAATGATACTGATCTGTAACCTCAGGTTGCGGTTCCGGATCCACGCTCGAGAAAAGACCGGTTCCAAAGTGTTAATCTTTTGTTATACCATCGAACCGATGAACGGTACCAATTAGCAGTTCGTTGCGATTGCAGAATGGAATGGGAGAATGGAAAATGAAGAAACGGTTTCACCGGGACATTCTACTTGTTGATAACATGTTCATTACAGTAAAAATTTTAATGAGCTGTAAAAATAGACAGGCGATTTATTCTTAAACTGATTGCAATAACCAAATTTTGATTAGTCAAACTATGCTCGAGTGCTCACAAAAGTGTTCGTACACATCTTCTAAAACTTAATAACTTTTTGAAAACAACTAAATAATTTGAATTTTGTTTAGATGATAGAGAGACTAGACTTTTTTAATTTTTCTATTCCTTGGGGTAACAAAAAATTAAGCTTTTTAACTTTTTTATCTGAGCCTGTGACAAAAATTTAAAAAATGCCTGTCGAAGATCTCGGTAACTTCATCACAGACTGATTTCCACTTTACTTGCTAGAACGATCCCTTTCAAAACATAAATATAATTTTGAATACACATTTATTTTATGTCAAAAACTCTTCTTTTGAATATATGTTTCTGATTTTTTCTAAATAACACAAAAATGATGTATATCATCAGTATTTAATTAAGCCCATTCATAAATATCAACAATCCTTCTAATAGCATCAATTTATAAAAAGGACAAAATACACAATTAAAAATATCGAGAAAAGTAACACGCAAATGTAGAAGAAGATTGGTTATTACTGTCACGTACATTTATAGTCAGATAATTGATCTTTCCAATAATAGCAAGTAGGAGAACTGCCCAGAGACTGAAAATCAAAATATTTTGAGGTTTTCAGTTATTACACCCGTATTTGCTATTTCGATAATCTGTTTTAATGCCGGCATGTGACGTCCATACCGGTAAAAATACCGGAACGTATACCGATATTGCGACGTCCATACCGGTAAAAATGCCGAATTATTTACCGGTACAATACCGATATGAACTTCAGGTTTGGTTACAATATTAGAATAATCGATCGTACCGCAACAATGCGATTAATAATCGCGGCGCGTCTGCGGTCTTCTTTCATTTTACCGGCACGACGTCATACCGGTATTTTGGTTTCTATAAATGTTAAGACGGTACAACCGAAAAATACCAGTATCAGTCTCAGAAATGGTCTTTTAGTTTTTCTTATATTATGTTCGAAATAAAAGTATCTTTTTCATGCCACTTAATTTATCTTAGCTTAACTTTGCATGAGTTTTTGAGATAGTGGCTTGGCAGTCAAAGTTGTTAAATAAGCCAAAGTTTATTAGGATGTACGAGGTGTAAGAAAGGATACAACAGCAATACAGTAAATCTTCCGTAATTGACCGCCAGCTTGGAAACTGAAACGAACAACTTGGGAAGAAGAAGTACGGTTATAGTTCTTGACAATCGGTAACCATAAAAATGAGCCGTAAGGCTCGAATAATCGTGTCTCCTCTTCCCAAATTGTCCATTTTTGTGTACAAGCTGAGCGTCAATTAGAGAGAATTTACTGCAGCTGTAAGAAATCTTGTCTTTACAATAATTTCTCTCAGAATACTAAGTAGCGATTCTTCGGGTCTCGCGGCTTGTTTACCGCGTTTGCCCCGACTCGGGGCAGTCGGCAAAGATGGTAGCGGCCAACATGCTAATGTACATTAATATAAATACATTATAATGCTAGAATAAAAATGATGACTTACCTTTTTTATTTCTCATTTTTTGACTCGATTCGAAGGCAGTTCGGAGGCTACGTGACTCGATTCGAAGGCAGTTCGGAGGCCACGTGACTCGATTCGAAGGCAATTCGGAGGCCACGTGACACGATGTGGAGGCAATTCGGAGGCCACGTGACTCGATTCGAAGGCAATTCGGAGGCCACGTGACACGATGTGGAGGCAATTCGGAGGCCACGTGACTCGATTCGAAGGCAATTCGAAGACTGCATGACGCGATTGGAAGGCTATTCGAAGGGAATTCGGAGGTCACGTGACTTGATTCGAAGGCAATTCGGAGGCCACGTGACACGATTTGAAGGCAATTCGGAGGCCACGTGACACGATTTGAAGGCAATTCGAAGGCCAAGTGACACGATTCGAAGGCAATTCGGAGGCCACGTGACTCGATTCGAAGGCAATTCGGAGGCCACGTGACTCGATTCGAAGGCAATTCGAAGACCACGTGACACGATTTGAAGGCAATTCGGAGGCCACGTGACTCGATTCGAAGGCAATTCGGAGGCCACGTGACTCGATTCGAAGGCAATTCGAAGACCACATGACACGATTCGAAGGCTATTCGAAGGTCATATGACACGATTCAAAGGCAATTCGGAGGTCACGTGACTCGATTCGAAGGCAATTCGGAGGCAACGTGACTCGATTCGAAGGCAGTTCGGAGGCCACGTGATACGATTTGAAGGCAATTCGGAGGCCACGTGCCACGATTCGACGGTCACGTACCTAGTACTTATCACGTACCTTGTACCTCCGCGGTTTTTCTTACCTGACTCACACCCAAACAAACCATTTTTTGTTGTCTTCCGAGAATTCGCGTCGCGTACCGCATCTCATGCTTCCTCCATCGATGATTACTCCATGCCAACTCCGTCGATCCTTAGCATCGACGTGGCAATAAATTACATAGGCGTAGGACGAGCACTGAGAAATTCACAGCAACCCGAAATTTAACATTTCTGGGAGAAATTACTGTGCTTCTATATGATTAAACAAGTTGTTCTGATTTTCTGTGTCGTTTATGGACACCGATGTGGCAGTTAGAAGGCAATGCTCGCGTTGCTCGTTCCAACCCTAATCCAAGCATCCGGACGGAACGTTTTCGCAGATCTAGGCTATGGATCGCGAGAACGCAATTGCGATCGCGAGCGTCGGAGATCGCGGGTATACTGGTTGCGTTGATGAAAAAACTTCGCCGATTTCGCGGCGGCTCGCGTGGAGAAAAAAAAAGGAAAAGAAGAAAAATACGGCGAGAGTGGGTCGCGGTTAAAATGCTGGGCCGGGGTGAAACCATGCATGCGTAAATGAGGCCACTTTGCCGGGATTATTCTCGTTTTTAATTCCCTTTCTCGTTTACATCAATACACGCCGCTCGCGCGCGGCAACGAGCTGTTCTCGGCGAACGAGCCGCGCACGTCCGCTTAACGACTCGAACACGATAATAAACTGCAACACGCGAGCAAATCCCCGAAGGAACAACCCGTTGTTGCGAGCCGCAGGCACGACGCTGGTTCGTTCGACCAGCAACGCGAGAAAAATGTGTATCGACATCCGAAAGCGTGCAAGCAGCTTTTCCCCTCTCGTCGTGATACGATTAATCGACGCGAATCTTGTCCGCGCAACTGCACACACGAGGAAACTGTCGTTCGTTCCTTCGGTTACGAGGATGCTCGCAAGTATGCCGAAATGCAATTAATTTCACAAGGTCCACAACACATTTCACACCGACGATCACAAGAGCTGTCCAATTCGCTCGTTGTGTAAAGAAAAAGGTACCCGGAATTGTTTGCAAATAAAATACATACTTTCATATTTGAGCCGCTTATTTTTAAAGTGGCCTAACTCCATTTATCTTCAAATCGAGATATTTAAAGTTTTGCGTGTCAATGAATTTAAAAATATACGTGTAGGATACTAATGAGTCATACTGCTTAAGCGTATCTAAGGATGTTAAATTTGAAGTTCCTGTTAAAGTAGTGGCAATTATTAAGTAAATAACGTGCGTTTTCTTATCAAGAATGGAGTTGGGCCACTTTCAAAATTAACAGCCAGATTCATTATAAAATTTGAAGGTGCCCAAGTCCATTCAACATAATTTAAGATGTTTCAAATTGAAAAAAACAATACTGAATTTGTTTTACATATCTTGAAAACACTTCGGAAACATAATTTATGCGATTTAAAACATTTTTTAATTACAGAACATAGAAAATTACAAACATAAATTTATTACAAAACAATTTACTATTCGTCTACATTTTGTGCGTGTGAAAGTGATTTGAAGAAATCATGATGTTCTGGTGGTATGTATCGTAATAGGTCAATTATGTCCTTAAATTTTGCTGTTGTAATTTGTCTAATAGTTTTATACAATGGTGTCAATACAATATTTTCGAACTTTCTTGGTCTGCCCCGACGTGGTAATAAATTCAGGACTTTAAAATTTTCATCCTCATTCATTGATGTCTTATAT